GAAAATATGACCGCTCTGCGTTGTGTTAAACAATATTAATAAAAATAATATTAGTAAATTAGGTTATCATGTAATGCATGCATCCACTATGGCATTACTTTTTGTCTTAACAACTGTTTAAACTCAGGAATCTTTGAGGAATAAACACAAAACAATCTGTATACTTTTAAATAACATACAGGAACAACAAAGTAAAACACTATAAAAGTGAGAGGTCCATATGCACTCACATCAGTCCTCTTTGTCCTGCGTGGCATGTTTGGAGGAAAAAGAGAGTCACAGGCCTGAAGGGTGGAGTTTGGTTTTGGGGGGAGTGGTCTAGTCAGGAGTGACAGTCTGATGCAGGTGGGGTGGAGACTTGTGATTTAACAACGATGATCAAAGGTGTCATTTCACAAGCTTTCACTTAAGATAGATTATAGTGATGACAGTTCTCAGCACTGGTGTCTTTGCTGTGTGAGTCCATCTAACCTTCATCTAACCATGTTTACAGGTGATGTGGTTCCTCCAGACACCACCCTGGTGTTTAACATCCATCTGTTGGATCTGTGGAACAAAGCCGACATGGTTGTCACCAAAACCATCACCACTCCCAAAGACTGCAAACGCTCCGTGATGCGCACCGACTTTGTACGCTATCATTTCAATGGCACTCTGCTCGACGGCACCGTCTTTGACTCCAGGTGAACGGTCTTAAATTCTGCAAAATGCTGTTACAAAACACTGACCTTTTTATGAAAGAATATAGAAGGTGATTAGCAACTGTAGCCCTGAGAATATTAATAAACCTCAGTCAATGTTTGAAGCTAAACCTTGTCTCCATACTCTGAAACAAATCCCTGTCAGAATCGAATGACAGCTCTTCTGTGTTTGTATTGTCCAGGTGTGTTGTTTGTTTGACTTTGCGCTTGTATGAGCCCCACGTAGTTACATCAGGAAGCAGACCCACGACACCTATGTGGGAGAGGGCTGGTTAATTAAAGGCCTGGATGAAGGCCTGCTGGGCATGTGTGTGGGAGAGATCAGAAACATCATCATCCCGCCCTTCAAAGCCTACGGAGAGGAAGGATCAGGTAAGCACGAGTTATGGTTCATTGAAAGGGCTAGAAAAGAAGTGATGGTGTTCCTGCTGTGAGGCTAATCCTGCTTCTATGAACACCAGGGAAACAGAGGTGAGAGGGACCTAACAATGTTACAAGGAATCAGCAGGCAAATTCCTGAAATTACATCTTATCAAATAAATGCATTTACTAAACACAGATCATACCACTTGTCTTTTATGTTAGTGCTGTTAAGATGTCTTTTGAAATTTTCCACCGTCTGCTCACCAGGTAAAGAAATTCCCCCCCAGGCAACCCTGGTGTTTGACATCCTGTTGGTGGACATTCATAACCCAAAGGATGACGTCACCATTCAGGAACAGGTGGTGCCAGAGTCGTGCACACGCAAGTCTGTGGTTGGGGATTACATGCGGTACCACTACAACGGTACCTTCCTGAATGGAGTCACCTTCGACACCAGGTGAGCTCGGGTCACACTGACAGTGAAGCTGATTGTTTAACCCTTCTCGAAATGTCAACCCATCACTAGTGCTGCTCCAGTACTGACATAGGTTGAGTTTTGAACATGACAGATGATGTGAAAGCACAATTCTTATAAAAGCCAGTTTTAACTTAATATAAAATTGTTACTGCCGACAGCTACCAGAGGAACGGCACATACAACACCTACATTGGGATGGGGTATGTGATCGCTGGCATGGACCAGGCCCTGTTGGGAACCTGCGTCGGAGAGAGGCGGAGAGTCATCATCCCTCCACATCTGGCATATGGAGAGCAAGGAGCAGGTAAGCTGCTGTAGCTTTTCCAGCACCTTGCAGTAACTTGTCTGCCTGAATCGATTAAATAATTACTGTTGATTCATTGTTCTACATCTACAAAGAGAGAGAGAGAGACATGATCACAACCATTACAAGTCACATTTGTTCACTGTTACTCTGTAGGTCTTCTATGAACTGGAAATCTTGGTGCATCTGAACATTAACAGAGTATTTCCCAACACTCAGAGTTACTACAGAGACTAAATACTTACGTGTGGTCTGTCCAGGTGGCGTCATCCCCCCCTCTGCTGTGCTGGTGTTTGACATTCACATCATCGACTTCCACAACCCCAACGACACGGTGAACATTCAGATCACCCACAAACCCGAGGGGTGTAACGAGACCACTGCGGAGAACGACCTCGTCCGCTACCACTACAACTGCACCTTGATGGACGGCACACCGCTCTTCTCCTCGTGAGTCACCCAGACAGCCCTTATTTTTTAACACTGATATGACATCACCACCTTAATTTGTCCAACTGACCTTGTCCTCAGACACGACTATGAGAACCTTCAGGATGCAGTGCTGGGGGCGGACAAGGTGATCGACGGGCTGGACCAAGGCTTGCGAGGCATGTGTGCTGGAGAGAAGAGGGTGGTAACAGTGCCACCTCACCTTGGCCACGGAGAAAGAGGAGGTGAGACCTACCTGAAAGTTGTTTTATAAAATATTTTATTTTGAACCCTGACAGGCTTCTTAAAGTCCTGAGATACAAATTAGAATTCACTTAAATACCAAGAAGCAAACCACCTAAACAGTGTTTTTGTTTTCCATCCATCAGCCAGTGGTGTGCCAAGCAGTGCTGTGTTGGTGTTTGACATTGAACTGGTGAGCTTTGAGAAAGGCGTGCCGCCTGGTTACCTGTTTGTGTGGCTGGGGGATAGCCCAGCAGATCTGTTTGAAGCCCTGGACGCCGACAAGAATGGAGAAGTGCCCCTGGAGGAGGTACGTTTCTGCTGACAGTATCACCACCAGCTACATTATTTCATATGGCAGATGAGGGCCCCTAAAAGTATTTATTTACCAAGTTTTACAAAGTTTCTTTAGTTTCACTGTGTAAACATAAGTTGATTTAGTGGAGTAAAAAGTACAATATTTCCCACTGAAATGTAGTAAAATAGAAGTATTAAGTAACATAACATTTGAATACATAAGTTAAATACAAATATCTTCAAAGCTTTACTTTCCACCACTGCTTACATAGGAATGATAAAACTCCAAACTGACCTGTGCAGCTAATGATTAATAAGATTTGAAAAGTCCATATTTTGACGCCATCTAGTGTTAATATTAAGAATAATGCTGCTTGCTGTTTCACTGTTGTACAAAAACTTCTGCTTTGAGAATAATGGAGAACATTGAGATTCATACCACATTCTTGAGCTTGCAAACAATTGACAAAAATATTCTCACCTCAGGCTCCAGTTGCTGTTCTGGGATTTTCTATGCTATCTTCTACTACATAAAAAGTCATACTATACCACATCATAAAAATGTCGTAGTATAAAGTGTGTGATAAAATAATGTCATAGTATAGTATGTCCAAAAAGTCATAGTATAGTATGTCCAAAAAGTCATAGTATAGTATGTCAAGAAAAAAAGTCATAGTATAGTATGTCAAAAAACACAATCATAGTATAGTATGTCAAAAAAAGTCATAGTATAGTATGTCAAGAAAAAGTCATAGTATAGTATGTCAAAAAAATCATAGTATAGTATGTCAAAAAAAAAAATCATGGTATAGTATGTCAAAAAAAGTCATAGTATAGTATGTCAAGAAAAAAGTCAGTACAGTATGCAAAAAAATAAAAAAAACTCATTGTATAGTAAGTAATTTAAAAAAATAATTCCATTAAAAGTCATTGTACAGTATGTCATAAAAATTAGGTTGAATATTATGCCATAAAACATGTCATGTAGCTGTAGTATTGTATGTCATAATACATTTTGTGATAAAAGGTGAAAGCATACTTAGCCATGAAGAAAAAAATCCTAAAGTGACGTGATTGGTTTGTGATGTTTCAACTGCAGTGTTTATCCTCCTACTAACATCTGAAAATCTACTACAACTCTAAAATTATATACACACACACATATATATATATCCACTTTGGTCACTAGTTATTGATGCTGCCTTTTGTCTTGAAACATTTTAGTTTGCCGAATTCATCAAGCTTCAGGTGACGGAGGGCAAAGGTCGTATAAAACCTGGACTGACCATGGAGCAGGTTATAGCCGACATGTTCCAAAACCAGGACCGAAATAAAGATGGATTGATCAAAGCAGACGAACTCAAACTGAAGGTCGACGAGGACAAGGAACGGGAAGAGGCGAGGCATGAGGAGCTGTGATAAGGACAAATGCTTTCATTCTCTCTCAGGGATAAACCCCCAACACCTTACAAACAAGAAAGGAGAGACTTTTTCCATACATCACCATGGTTTAATATATTCTGCACCACATCCCACATTTTGTCTGAATGACAAGAAAATAGTGCAAAGGATCTTTTTGTCAAGTTCTGTGTTGTGTGATTGTCTTTGATAGGTGTATTTTATAAAACCAAAGAAGCACCTTTATTTGTCCATAAAAGTCACATTAATTAAAAATTTTCTATGAAAAAGCTAATTGGTTTTTTTTTCTCCCCAGGACTTGTATCCCACCTAAAGAACTGGCATGACATCTGAAATAACCGCACCTCTATACATGACAAAAGAGAGGTGCACCAACATACAGGAAAACTACTGAAAAGCAGCTGATGCAAGACGCAGAGTCCCAACAGTTCTCAACGTCACACTTAAAGGGGAGGTGTGCATATTTTACACATCAAAATCTGTTTACAGGTCTAATACTGCATAACACATGCAAATCTTCAAAACTAGAGGATGGGCATGGTGCCACCAATGTGACTTTGTAAGATGTTGCGACTCTGCATCCTGCACCAGAAATTCATATAACACCTACTATGAGCTGCTTTGAAAAAGAACAGGAAACCACAGAAGTTCTTTGCAAAACAACAGCATTAATAATCAGTGGTTTTTCAACAGTAGCTTTTTAAATGACACATCTCTCTGTGATCAAGTTAGTAACAAATTTTAAGTATTAGTCATTTTAAAAAGCAGGAAATTAACACAGAAATATACCTGAACTTCTAAACACGTTGTAGACTTGCATATGTACTAACACTTAAAAATGCATTGGTTTTGGTTGATATTGGCCGGGAACTATTGGATTCGGGTAACTTAAAATATATTAATGCAAGTATTATTAATATTGATGCATTTCTAATAGAATTTAAAAGCGGCACCATGATTCACTGATCTAATGACCATCTTATGATAAGACTGCATTACAATTAACTATTAGTGGCATACAGACATAAAAATGTTGATTTAAAGGATAGTTGTCATTTTTTACAATACCATCACTGACATGGAATTTCTGTTGGAGACCTGGGTTATCAACAATACTAAAGGAACTCCAATCGAGATTTAAAAATGTGTACTACTATACCTTTTGCTAAGTTAGTCCATGTTCGTCTTTTCTTCAACACCTACGGTAAAGTGCAACTAGCTTAATATTAAGATCTAATTTATAGCAGCCACAGTGACTACGTTTACATGCAGACTAATATTCCACTTCTAATCCAAATAAGATAATATTTTTGTACTGAATTTGATACGGGTCATGTAAACAGTATATTCTGTTTGGATATTAAGTATTAGGCCTTCTTTTTTCTCGAATGTAGTATTTTTGAGTTTTAGGAGCATTGTTTGCACACACAGACAGCGTATTTGGACTATGCATCTCAACTGGGGTGGAGTATTTGCGGCTACATTTAACAGGAATATTAGAAGAATATTCATTTTCATTAACCATGTAAACAGCTCAGTTGAATAATTGTCTTTTTTTGGAATAAGAGGCGAAAACTGGAACATTTTGTGCATGTAAACATAGTCAGTGTTACAGCTGGAAACACTAATAATGGTAATACTGCTATACTGTAGCACTGTGTTAAATGATGGCATGTCTATCTTCAAAAATGAAAAAGTTTAGAACAACTGACTTAATAACAACTACAATAGCTTAAAGACTGTCATGTTAGATGATTCATGTGTGAAGAGGTAGTATACAGTACGCACAAAACACACCAGAACCTGTCAATGTAAGTGAGGACACTTTGCAGGTAAAGACACATTTACAAAATGTGTTTTATGTCTTTGCTCTTACAAAAGCTTAATGTAAAAGATATTTATCCTCATACTGTAAAACAACAAAGTAAAAATCACAACTTTTTTTCATGTTAAAAGGAGTGAATTTGACAGAAATTTAGAAGAACACCCTGTAGTTGTTTATACTGCCTTTTTAAAAAGGTTGCTGAATTGTTTTTAGAGGGAGGGCTGCTGGTACTGTATGTGCTTTATGGATTTGAAACAAGACAATATAAAATCTACCTGCACTGAGTTCTGTGAATGTGGCACACTGCCATTCTGGTGGTAAAGTTTGTATCAAGACATCCTGAGCATTCCCTCAAACAAATTTAACAGCAGGAAGACAACAGTTAAATCAATGCCCAGCCTTCTACTGCCCTCTACTGACGTTACAAGCATAAGTCACAGATTGTTCTGGACTTTGGTGTAGCTTTAATATGCAGTCAAAACAGTTAAGAGTGTAATAATAAAGAGATAAAAAGGTCCAGTTTCAAGTTCTGGCTTGAGGTAAGTTGTGATGTGTGATTGTCCAGCATGCAACATGGTGAATGGAGTGAACAAGTCTGTTTGCTGCAATGAAGTTCCGTCTTGTGCGTCTTACTTGTTGTCTTTTGATGAGGTAATGTATCTGAGGATACCGTTGGGAATGTCCATCGTCTCGTCCTTCACCAGCACAATGTCAAACGAGTTGATGTACGACTCTTTCCTCTCTTCCACCTGAGACACAAAAGGACACAGACCGTGAGAACCCAACTTCTAAAACTCAACATCTAATACACCGGGCACCTTCTCTCCTTCTCTCTCTCGTATTCTATTACTGCATCTTGCTAACTTGGCCATTCTGGATGTCACTAACTCGGCTTCTTCTCCGGAGCCTTTGTGCTCCACTGTCTCTCAGATTAACTCATATCGCAGCGGTGCCTGGACAGCGTGACGTGTGTGGTTGTGCTGCTGCCGTGGTCCTGCCAGATGCATCCTGCTGCTGCTGCCATCATTAGTCATTAGTCATACTGTTATTATACACATATGACTATTGTCACACATGTATACTGCCAGATATTAATACATACTTTCAACATATTGTACCACAGTAGCCAGAACTGTAACTATAATATTATTACTTTCAATAATGTTGTTGTAAGTTACTGTTATTACCTGCATCTCTCTCTCTGTCTCTCTCTCTGTCTCATTGTGTCATGCGGATTACTGTTAATTTATTATGCTGATCTGTTCTGTACGACATCTATTGCACGTCTGTCCGTCCTGGAAGAGGGATCCCTCCTCAGTTGCTCTTCCTGAGGTTTCTACCGTTTTTTTTCCCCGTTAAAGGGTTTTTTTTGGGGAGTTTTTCCTTATCCGCTGCGAGGGTCATAAGGACAGAGGGATGTCGTATGCTGTAAAGCCCTGTGAGGCAAATTGTGATTTGTGATATTGGGCTTTATAAATAAAATTGATTGATAGATTGAACATGTTGAAATGAGGAACCCTAGAAAAACAACACCATACTGGACATTTAGTCTGACCTGGTCGTTGAGGAAGCCAATGGTGAGGATGTTCTCGTGCTCAGACACGCCATCAGCCATGGTCAGGTCTCCTAATGAGTCTCCCAGCAGCAACACATTGGGTCGACCATGCAGCTCCCTGAGGCCAGCTGCATGTGACAGAGCACCTTCCCTCTTGTTGAAGGTGTGGATCAGTTGGCCTTTGAAGGCTCTCAGAACCCCCTAATTAACAACACAATGTTCAGATTAGGCTCCTCTAGTAACCTGTCATAGACAGCCTGAACCTGGTGGAGTAAAATCATGTTGATTCTTGTGATGGTGGAGGTGGTATGCAAAGCCATGGTAATGTCAAACTAAAGATGCATTAACAGGATTATTCAGATTTTCTTAAGTGGGGTTGTATGAGGTACTTATCCACAGTGAGTATATTATCTACAGTAGATGATGATCAGCACTCCCCGACTTAGGGCAGGAGTAGCACCAAAAAAGGTAAACAATGTACTGTCATAAAAAATGTCACAGTATAGTATGTCTAAAAAGTCTTAGTATAGTATGCCAGGAAAAAATGTCATAGTATATAGTATTTCATCAAAAATCATGTAAAACGTCATGGTATAGTACATCGTCCAAAAACGTGAAAAACAGTCATAGTATACTATGTTGTCCAAAATCATGAAAAAATGTTATAGTATTGTATGTCATCAAAAACCATGAAAAACAGTTATAGTATAGTATGTCGTTAAAAATCATGAAAAAACGTCATAGTATAGTATGTCGTCCAAAATCGTGAAATAAAGTCATAGTATAGTATGTCGTCCAAAATCATGAAAAAATGTCATAGTATAGTATGTCGTCCAAAAACGTGAAAAACAGTTGTAGTATAGTATGCCGTCAAAAACCATGAATAAACGTCATAGTATAGTATGCCGTCAAAAACCATGAATAAACGTCATAGTATAGTATGTCGTCCAAAAACATGAAAAACAGTCATAGTATAGTATGCCGTCCAAAAACGTGAAAAACAGTTGTAGTATAGTATGCCGTCAAAAAACATGAAAAACAGTCATAGTATAGTATGCCGTCAAAAACCATGAATAAACGTCATAGTATAGTATGTTGTCCAAAAACATGAAAAACAGTCATAGTATAGTATGCCGTCAAAAACCATGAATAAACGTCATAGTATAGTATGTCGTC